CTGATTTAATTCCATTCTCGTAAAGGCCCTGAAGCAGGCGTCGGGGAATGATATGTGTGCATTCTATGTTTGCGAGAACATTCGCATGATGGCGTCCGAAAGGAGCAGATCTGATAGACAGGAGTGGGTACGTTTGTCAGAACACTATTCACACCATTATAGATATCTAGTCATACAACTAATACACATGCATATTGATTTCCTTCTTAACAGTTTAGAAAGGTGCATGATAAGCTCTTACCAGCGAACCGCATACTAGCACTTCAAGAGGAAATAACCGGATTTTTGCTCGACCAGGTCATAGATTCCAAAGGAAAATACTATTATCCGCTACCGCCCCCATGAACCACTTGTCATCGTGCTCCGGAGGCACCAAGGCAACATATAGGAGAAATTGTATATGTATATACATATATATATATATATATATATATATATATATATAGGGTTGCGCTATTCGCCACCCTGGGTGAAGAATTGTTATTCCTCACCCTAGCCAGAATGTACGTCGTGCCGAACGCCTGAACCAACGACGTCCCCAAAAAACTTTCCACCAGCCATAAGATTACCTCCCACATAACACCGGCTAACGTAATAAACTATTTATGAGTCGTAAGCTTACCTCGGCATCAGACTAGCGAGCGGGCTTAAAAAACTCAGTAGCCAACATAAGATTACAGAGGCGTACAGGAAAGAAAGAAACCTGCCGTAAGAATAAATGGCAATGTATTTTTTCCAGCAACCAATGTTTTTTAAGTGGCTGATAATTACACCATGTATTAAATGGTTTTTTTATGTCCCTGTTAACTACGTAATGTAAGAGATGGCATTGGTTTGACATATGCACACTAGTGATTCCACTTAAGAAATCACGGTGCATAAATACAACTCAAACTCTTGCCTGGATGTGAGCAATCATGTCGTATAATCATGAGCTAATGTAGTGGGCAATAGAGGATAACAGAAGAACTGCGTGCTTGCTTGACAAAATAATTTAGTGGTCAATAGTGGTCATGAGTAGTACAACATGCCGTTTCGGCCATTTTTCTTTTCTAAGAGCATCCACTGGATTGGTAAATTGACCACTCCAAACTATAGTCAAGGACAAAGAGCATCCACTGTATCAGATGATTAAGATGAATCTTATCAGCGTATTTAATATTTATACAATTATTCCTACCACGTTTAAGAATATATCGAGGAAACTTGCAAAAAAAATCTCTAGAGGACCACATTTTTCAGAATTTCTTCAATCAGATTTTCAGGTGTCAACACAAGGCCTTCATTGCTTTGTAGACAATACTTTTGATCAGTTGGAAGAGGAAGCCAGGGGCAAAATGGTATTCCATAACAAAACATCACAAGACTGACCCCGTCACTCAGCCTGAGAGTGACACCATGGCCCATGGGAGAGACTGGCTCGGCGAAGAGGCATCACAGTGGCGGCGATGAAGGATGTTACCATTATGGCATAAGAGGCGTTCGGGAGCATCCCGTCTAACAAGAGGAGGTTGCATTACCGCCTTGCTGCAATAAATACAAACAGAATGGGGAGTCCGGGATGACTCCAAGAAGCTACAAAAGTATAGTAATAATTCAGAAAAAGAAATGAAACAAGTCATATCTGCACTATATCATACATACTGTTGTCTGCAACTTCTGGCTAGAATAGAGTTATACAACAGTCTGAACTGCAGAATTAGCATTGTGCTTCCTGAACAGAATGAAGAAAACTAAATAGAGCAAAAACTAATAGAAGTATGCAAATGATCAGGATGAACAGATTATACAAGAACAAAGGAAACATTAAACTCCTGCTTTCCTCTTCGTATACAAGAAGTAAACAGAAATCTCTAAGATCATGAGCTTAAAAGCTTGACATGATAATTTACATTCCTGACAGAATTTTTACACACATTTTATTACAAGGAACATATAAGAAATAAAATCATACAAACTAGTCTGTAGCTGGGAATTTCAATCATTAACTGAGATGCATGCCATCAGTCTATCTTGATTTTAAAAAAACCGCAGTAGTAGTCAAAATAAATCATCACAGGAACCACAAGTCAATAAAGATTCAATCTTGGGCGCAAAAGCCTATCTTTTCGCTCCCCTAAATTTGGAGTTACATTTATTGAGAAATCAAACTTTTTAGACAAAAATGTAAATGGTGAGTATATGGCAGTAACAGTACTCCCTCCCCACCCCTCAATCATGCATGTCGAGTAAAGGTTAACTATGAAGAAACCCAAGAAGACATCTAACTAAGGACATACAGAGTAGGCAAAAGAAATTATGACAATCCCAGTACTGAGCATGTAGGATAGCTATACCCGAAACAAATATTTTGGGGGCGAGACCAGTATAAAATACACAATGTTTCAACTCTGCATTTGGGGAGGTAGTCCATCCAAATTCAGAACCAAATTTCTTACTGAATCCAACTTAATTCAAGCACATACTTGGCATGAGAGAGTAAACAACACATAATCATGTAAAATGACGAAGAAGGGGTGATACTAAAGAACTCCCATGGCGAACACCTAGTTGCCAACCGTTGTCGTGGACGAGATGCAGCCCGCATCAAGCAAAATGCTGTCAATCACCAGTGATGCTAAAACAATATACAAGAACAGAAGTTGCTACATGAAACAGTGAATAGACACATAATTCGAGCAGATTCATTGGATGGGAGATTATGGCAGATTCATATATAAATTGATGGACAAGGGGTGACATTGATTGCTTTAATATGGTCATAGCAAGTAAATAGAAGTGCACTAGAGTTTCTTTTTTGAAGTTATTGCTTCATCCGGTTTCTGATTTATCCAATAATCTATGTGGAGAATGTTGGAGCTAACTCAACATTCCCTTAATCTAATTTAGAGATAACCTGGTAGCCTTTTATAAATTTTCAAGTTGTGCATAAGAAAGATTCAAGCAGCTAACTATAAATTTACGCAGAGATGTCAGGTTAGCTGAAACCCAAACAAAGTGAACACGGTGATGGTCATAAGGCTACTAGATTTTTTTCTAAACGCCTTAAAATCTGAACTGAACTCTTATATCATGATTCATGTCATCTAAATATTACAGTTTGGACAGGACAATGGTGGAACTTTGAGCGAACATTTTTTTCCTTCGGTTTTTAGAGCTACCACCATATATTTTTGGAGGCAAAGCTATCCCTGTACCAAGGAGAGCGACTTGATTAAGAACGCCTGTAAGCTTTATACTGAATCCCTGATTTTTTTTTTTGAGGAAGACTGAATCCCTGATTTGTTCGAACTACCAAGACACTAGTTCAGAATTCCTACTAGAAAGCTGCATAGTCCAGCTTGCTACACTAGGAGCTACGGAGTGTGCTACTCTTACTATCTTCAGATTAAGCTAATTTTGGAACTAATAAACTGAAGAGCAATGGAACCACACTCCTAACCAATCGGAAAACAAATAATGGTTCTGGTTTTGCTTCAGGCTAGAACATCTCATATTCAGCATGTTTGGCAAATGATGGGCAGAGCAATAGGAGATTAAAGGAAGGAGTTAATAGGATATTGGGCAAGGGAATTAGTATTACTCTAAATCATTTACTTGGTTTCTTTTGGGATTTATTTGCAGGGAGTGAAGGAGAAAGGTTTGATCGCTTTATTTGATTAGTGGGTCAAACAAGAACTAAATGCAACATTACCAAATTGACCATTAGTCTGTTTGTTCCCCATAAATCAACAATATGGATAAACTATCTACCGGATCAAATAACGTGTACTATGTGGTGATCATGGTCAAGTAGATAATGCATGTTTCTGATTTCTTCTTATATTCGTGCACTCCTGCAGCAATAGCCGAAGGTCCAAGCCTCCAAGGCAACTCAAACAAGGCTACGGCCATCGGCTGGAAACATCGAGGCAATAAATTGAGGTTACTCAAGCATATCCATCTGGTCGGGTAGTCGGGCGTAAAAAAGCAATCGATGGTAAAGTTGTAGGAATGAAATAATCAGACAAAAACTCTCGCAAAAATTAATCAAACAAACATGGCTGGATCCTGAAGCAAATCACTAGGGCATCTACCGGAGAGCGTGAAAGTACCTCTTCAGGCAGCAGAGACGACTCACCGCGCCGCCCTACCACGATCAGCTCGTTGTCCAGCCAAGGACGCCACCAACCCCTGGCTCGTGGAGTGGGCCCGTATCGGCCGAGCGTTCATTGCCGGCGACTCGGCCGACGAGGCGTCGTCCGCACGGGAGATGCCCCCGTATCATGAAGAATCCCTGACGCCGACGTCACAGCAGCACGGCTCGGCCCGCCGCGTTGCCCGAAACCTAGGCCAACCTACGAGACGCCGCTCACAACGCGGTGGAGCGTCACGACGCCGGAGTCCAACCGCCGCTCGGCGCTCGCACCCCTCGTCCACTACGCCCCTGTTTATTTTTAGAAGATGGCTCCGCTCCTCGGTTGCGATTTTTTTTTCTTTACGACGGAGTGGGCTCTTGAGTCGATGTAAAATTACATCACGGGGGCAAAAATTTGTGACCGGTGGAGCCTGGTTGGGTGATGCGTTTGAGGAGTCTGGCTCGGTGGCTCGACCGGGGTGAAGAATTACTTATTCTTCACCCTGGGCTACTAATAGACTTTATATATATATATATATATATATATATATATATATGCGGTTCTACGTATGAGAAAAACTATTTACATATATGCATAACGTGTACAATTTGTAGTATCGTGAAATACCAGCAAAAAAAAATTGAATGGAAAATAAAACCAACCCCCCCTCAAACATTTAGTACCGGTTGGTGTTACCAACCGGTACTAATATCCTACGCGCGCACGGGCCTGGCTCGTGCCACGTGGTGTCACTTTAGCGCCGGTTCGTGACAAACCGGTACTAGAGGGGGACCTTTAGTCCCCACTCTTTAGTGCCGGTTGGCAAATCGGCACTAAAGGCCGTTACGAATCGGCACTAGAGGCCGGTTCTGCACTGGTGGATGTACTTTGTCAATTATACCATGTGTGAAAAAAGTAAGAGGTCTCACTTGTTTCATGCTGGTGGTAGAAATATCCATCTTGCCATTTTGGATGGATAATCTGCGAACCTTACTTTGCAAGTTAGACACTTTTCTCATAGTACCATCAAGAATAGTGACAGTTTTCTTCAGTGGACAAGGTACGTATGAGATCAAGTACCATGGCATGTACCCGGCAAGCTTCTACCCTTTCTTCATCATCAATGCCTATGGGTTGTATCATACTTCTATTTATTAGCTCATTGAAATAATTATTTCCGAGCTCATATAAGCTAGTTTCTTGTTTTTCACTATGAACAAAGCCTTCGGCTATCCACCTCCATATCAAGTCAACTCTTAAGACCTTGAAATTTTCCGGAAATATACTTAAATATAATAAACAAGGTTTCAGATGAGATGGCAGATCATAATAGCTAAACAATAGTATCTTTTTCATGTCCTCCACATTGTGATCTTCTGCAAGTCCATGACAGATGGAATTGAGCAAAGCATACCACTGATCTTTTGCTTTTGTTTGATGATTACTTGCTAGAAGGCTTGCTATGGTAATAATGGCTAATGGTATACCACCACATTTCTTTAAGATGTCTTGGGATACTTGCACCAGTTCATGAGGACACCCCCTCTCATTAGAGAATACTCTCTTATAGAAGAGCCTTCTAGAGATGTCACTAGAAAGAAATTCCATTCTGAAAATATCATCACTAGAAGAGCAGCATGCTTCGGATACACTAACAATGCGAGTAGTCGTGATTATTCGACTTCCAAGACTATTCTTGGGGAAAGCACACTTGATTAAACGCCACACTTTTTCATCCCATATGTCATCAATTACGATGATGTACCTGTTTAAACGTTTCAGATAGTAAGTTAATAAATCAATCAGGGTATATCTAAGTCTGTCTTGGTAAGAAGGGCTTATGTGATGATGTGTTATTGAGGCGAAAATGCACTGGAGAAAAATTCACGAATTTATAAGAACATTGTAAATCTAGTGGATGACTCACAATGTGCTACAAAGATGTTTATACAACAGTACAAAATAGTATCATGATTGTACTATGTGAAAAGCCAAATTGATCAATGACAACGAAAAAGCAGTTGGCATACCTCTTGTTGGTAAGGAATTCATTATTGCTCTTAAAAAATTCGGTCTTGCTCGTAAGAAATTCAATGAGTTCATCGATAAGCTGTTTTTCATCCCTTATTGCACTATGAATGCATGAATACTTCTTCTTGTCTAACTCATAGAGAATATCTGAGAAACTGAAACAAAGGCCCCACAATCAAATTGTACTTTGATCTTATCATACACCACTTTCGCAAGAGTAGTCTTTCCCAGCCCACCAAATCCAACAACAGATATTGTCTTTATCGGACTCTTCAACCAATCATCAACATGTTAATCAACTTGTCTTGTGCTTGTTCGATCCCAACAAGCTCTGTCACATCTGTGTATAGAGCCCCACGAGGGTCAACGCCAGCACCAGCACTGGTGTCCCGCATCTCTTGCTCATATCTTTTGCGCTGCTCAGCCAACTGCTTAGCTTGACCCATCACCTCTTCTAGAGAGTCAGACATCCGATGCAGATCCCTTCCGCTCTTGAATAATTTGATGATCTTCTTGATCAACTTCTTGATTCTATTCTGGTTGACAGGCTCACCGTCATCTTCCACATGCACCATCATGGTGTCAACGATGTCCTCCATTTGGTAGGACAACTCCTTGACATTTTCTGCCCATATTTTGACCCCCTCGTCAAGCTGCTCTGGCGGAACTTTTGCCACCTTGCGAAGGGCAGCGTGCATCAAGGTTAGCTCTGTGACAAGAGACTCCATACCTTTCCTCATGCGCTTCTCCAGGGTGAACTCACCAGCGAGCAGGTCCCCGAGCTTCGTAAGGAGAGGCCTGATGGCCACCATGGCGATCTCCATGGCTAAGGTAGCTTGACCTCTCTACACACTGTTGCGGTGGTATTTTGGGTGTAAGGGAGTTGGCGGTGTGCAATCTTGGTTTCCTGGCAGATAAGCTAGCTAGGAAAGTAGGAAGAAACCAACGGTGTGCGTCATTGTCTTGTGCAAAAGGAAAAAAATTAGAGAGATCCCTCCTCTGTATGCTCCAGACAAACACGGCTAGTTGGCTGGACCAATCAATGTCGGCACCACCGGCGAACCAACCACACACCGCCATGCGTATGGAGAGGAAAAAAGAGGAAAACGACAAATTTAAACACATTTAAAAAATAGTTCTAACTGCAGAGAGCAATGGGCACCGGCTGTGACTAAGAGATTAGCTGACTAATTTGCTGATTGTGTACCTGGTCATCATAAAAGCATGTGCCATGCAGATGAGTACATTTTCACGAGAGTAAAAAAAAAACATCAGAGTATTGTCACAAGAGTGTTGAGTGAGGGAGACATTAGTGTAAACTTATACAGCTTTTCGTTTGCACACCGCATTGTTTGCTAAGCCAAGTCATTTACCTCCAGAAAAAGACCAGGCTAATAGCACTGCCCCATTTATTCAGTCAAGTTTCAATTAACGTGACGAATAGAAGGCAACAAATAAAACAAATAGTAACCAGTACAGATAATAGGTGAAATTTCAGATGATTGTATAAACTGAACAACCATAATTTCATACCATGATTCTGAAAACTGCTAGGAAGAGACTCAATAGATAATCAAAGTTGTCAAACCAGGCAACAGTGCATCATAATTACATACTCTGCCTTACAAAACGAATAAATTGAAAAGTTCTGCCTTACAAAAGAAATAAATGGAAAAGGAAGTTCGTCATAAGCAAAATACAAGAGGCACAACAGAAACTGAATGTTCCTTCAATCAGCAGAAGTGATAATAGAATTCAGGAATAAGTGGGAGCAGTCACAATGAGAGCTTCATGTCGAAGAAGATTCAAAACTCCAAGGCAAATTAACCACCCAGCAGTACATCATAATTACACACTTCCTTACAACACAAAGAAATGGAAATATAAGTTCATAACAAGCTAAACATAGGAGGCGCCGCTGAAACTTGATGGTTCTTGAGTCGATAGAAGAGAATTCACGCATAGGAGGATGCAATCACATGGAGAGCTTCATGTACTTGCAGAAGAAAGACAAATAAAAACACCAAGACAAATGCAATGTTCTCCAAGTTTCAGGAGCCTCCATTGACTAGAAACATACAACACAATATTCTAAATCCAACACAGGTACTCGACAAAAGCAGCACTATCAACAATAGCACATATATAGATATTGCAAGATACCTCACTTGCGGCATTGCTGCTTCTCATGGTGGTCATACCGACATGCTCTTTCGGATGGAGAGTCTTCAAATGTTGCCTTTGTATAAACCGCTTTCACTCAGTGCCATGCAAGTGGTTTTCTTCACTTGGCAAAAACATATGGGATCAATCATCATATCACGAATACGAAGAGATGTTTCCATGTCTTCATCAACATTGATGTCTATTAGTTGAACCTACATCTATTTATGATCTCATTGAGTAACTCTATCACTGAGCTCAAATAGGCTAATCTTTTTTTTTTCAATTATAAATAAAGCACTCAACTACCCTTTTACATATCAAGTGACCTTGATTAATCTTCTAAAAATATACTTAGATATAGTAACTAATCCTATAGATGACAAGGTAGATCATACTAGTAGTCAAAGAAGCTTGACTCCAGATCATCCATTTGACATAATCTACAAGTCAAGAGCTTCTTTTACTATTTATTTGCTACAATTCATATTGCTGTTGTGTGTGCCTCTTATTGTGTTTTGTCCCTAGTCTATCCTAACTTGCTTAAGACTAAAGATTGTGTTGTTTTTATCATCTACCTTCACATCACTCATTATATGCAATCTTGTTTTTAGAAGATTACAAAATTAAGAGAGACTAGCTGATATTGAGATGGATAGCCGAAGGATTTGTGTATGACGTAAACGAAAATTGACCCATTTGAGCTATGAGAGGGTTACTTCAATGAGCTCATAAATAAAAGCATGATCCAACCTGTAGGCATCGACGAAGAGAAGAGTGAAAGCTTATCGTGTCCATGACATGATGCTTGATCTAATATATTCGTTGCGGAGAGAAAAACTTATGGCAATGTTTAATCCAAGAGAATGTGGATGGCAAGAGCCAAATAGCAAGCCATTCTTCGTTTACTCCACAGTAATTCTCGTCTCATGCCCAAGTACCTATGCACGTGAATTTTTTGCAACGATTAGCTGGCAAGTAAGTCAACATCTGTATACTATTTCTTCATTAAGAGAAGACAACAGTGAATAATGAGCTAGTTATCAAAGCAAAAAAAAGAGAGAAGCAAATCCTAGGGTGAATAACAGTTCATACCAAACAATCTATACAATGAATCACCGATGATTTGCACTTAAGGTGCACACACCTAACGAGCACCAAAAAACAGTGGATGGCGACAGGATAAATCCTCTTCATTTCTTCCGCACTAGCATCTCTTTTAATTACACAAAACAGTTGTGATTTTCATCCTACACTGACTTATGTACATGAAGTAGTAATTTGCACCATTTAGTTGGCAAGCAAATCAAGAAGTATCTGACATATGTTGTTTCATAAAGAGTGGTCAGCATGTGCTAGTTATCTGGCAGCAAATGGACTCACTCACTAGAGAAGATCCTAGGGGTGGCTTATACGACCAAATTAGTCTCAGTACTGAGATGCACACACACACACACCAGCTGGGCAGCAGATCTGTAAACGGTGATTTAGAGTGGCTTACTTATACGACCAAATTAGGCACGCATGATTTAGTTGAAGAAACAGTAAACGGTGAAGGATATAGAGCGGAAGCAAATCTGTGGTGGACGACCAACAGTTTGCAGTTAAGACTGACTTAAGATGGACCCCCATGATTCTAGTCGAAGAAACTGATTTAGTCGGATTGAGAAGAGAGGAACGGATTTATACCTCAACTGCGCTGTGCAAGATCCGGCGGCTTCCCCTGCCTACAGGCGCCTCTTCAGGCTGCTGCACATACTCACCGGCGAGCAGGCCGGCTGGATGTACGAGCCCTGGGGCCGGGGGCCGGCGGTCCGCTGCGAGATCCACTCCACGGTTACCCATCTCTCTCTCACTGACTGACTGACTCTGCACATCTCGGCATCTCCAAACGCGGACCAATGAACGTACTACTGGACAGACCATGTGCCCGCTGCCCTCTGGTCCTCCGCAAGGTATGGTCCCACGTGTCATCCAGGTGTAGTATTAAACATGAACAACCAAGTCCAAATTGAGGTCTCAGGTCACTCTGTGCATTTTGAAACCAAACAGAAAAACCATACCGAAAATAAACCGAACCGAATCAATTTACGGTTTTTATGGTTTCTGGTTTTGGTATGGTATAAAATTTTCATACCGTTTTGAACTTTGGTTTTTATGGTATATACCAAAAAATCGAATGATTAACCGAATAAACCGAAATAAAAATAAATTTATATTTCTTGAGGCAAACAACCATATAAGTTATCATTTTTTGTACATGAGTCAAATTCACTACCAAGCACATACATTTTTCTTGTAACATAGTTATTTTCTCTTTAAAAAAATCCTAAGCACGTCCATAACAATCAAGGGATGAATCAATTCATGCATATATACTTATATATATAGTTATATAGTATTTGTGTAAAATAGTATGTGTTTTGAGTCATAAATTTGTAAATTGTTATGATGTCATTTTTAAATTCCCGTCAACTTTGGTTATTATGGTATATACCGAAACCATACCGAAATAATTTGGTATATATCAAAACCGAACCGTATTTTAATTTTATATACTGTATTTACCGAAGTATTAATACCGTACAAACCAAACTATGTAAACCGAATAAACCAAACGCACAGAGTGAGTCTCACGGCGCAACATGATAACAAGATGCCGTCATACATATTGTTTGCTTTTTTTTAGAACATGCCAAATTATTTGCAGATGCTGTTACTGATAAACAACAGGCAAAAATAGAAGGTCCATAAACCAGTTCATATTTCGATCGGTACAGGGGCCACCGAATCTAAGTTATCCTACCTGATACAGCTCGAAACGGGTTGACTGAATTATGTAACACTGAGATAGGGGCTTCAGGCTTTCGGCTTCAGTTACATTTCCTGTCGAAACAGAAGCTGAAAGTGATGACATCATCCTCTCGCCCCATCTTGGCCGCACAAACTAGGAAATAAATATGACTCTACATACGTTTTCAAGATAAGGAAAAGAATAATTTAAACATAAAGGACAGCCCGGTGCATGTAGCTCCCGCTTGCGCAGGGTCCGGGGAAGGGTCCGACCACTTTGGGTCTATAGTACGCAGCTTTTCCCTACATTTCTGTAAGAGGCTGTTTCCAGGACTTGAACCCGTGACCTCTTGGTCACAAGGCAGCAGCTTTACCACTGCGCCAAGGCAGCAGCTTAAACATATACTAGTAAAATCCTTAAATTTTTATATGTTTGAATTTTTTTGAAAGTACATCTTATATAATCGTTGTTTCACATATTTGAGGCGTAATTTTATTTTTATGACTAGATAAAATGCTGTACGTATGTAAGGAACAACGTGACATGATTCATATTCGCCATGAGCCATCAGAGGCAATGAAGATGAATGTGCTCAATGGATGTTTATGGGAAGAACAAGTCAGCTTCCTTCTTGCAGAAAAGCCAAGGAATTTTTTTACGTGAGCACATTCTCTCTCTTTTCTTTTTCATTTTTGCAGTAGCCGTCAGCACATTCTTTGAAGGAAAAATGACATAAAAAATACCTTTGTCATGCACTAGAAATTTTACGATCAAGTTACATAAAAGAAATTTACGATCAAGAAGTGAAAACAAAGGAAACCTGGAGCACACATATTAACCAAGCGCTCCTGCCTCCTCTTGCGGAACTCTCATTGGTCCAAAAAATATGTGTTCTTGGGGTATAGTTCTCTCCATAAAGGCTATAAGTGCCTTCATATGCCAACAAATTGTGTCTACATATCTCATGATGTTGTTTTTGATGAGAGCGTCTTCCCTTTTTCCGCCATGCCCCAGCCACCCATCATAGCCCCATCTATGCATTCATCTCCTCTTATGCCTGGTCAATTTGATAATGCTGCATATTCACCTGTGTTGTTACCTAATCATGGTGCAGGAACTGGACGTGGTGCTCGCCTGGAACTCCTACTCGATGCACCACCTACGTCGCCTGTGGCACACGTCGATCGGCCGGTGCATGCGCATGCACCGCCTCCCGCCTTCGACTCCGCCTCAGGAGCCATGCCTGGGCCGGAGCCCGCGACGGCCTCTGCGCCTGGGCCGGGGCCCGCAACAGCCACTCCTGAGCGGCCCACGTTGCCGCATACTCGCCCCGCCTCGCCTCCATTGTCACCCGCATCGCTTGCGCGAGCTTCCCTGCCGCCCACGTCGCCTGGGTCGGCAGCGCCGCACACGACGTCCGGGCCCTCATTGCCTGGCCCACCGTCGCCTGGCCCTTCTGCGTCGGCATCTTCTGGACCGGCCTCGCCTACTCCGGTGTTCGCTGCTCCGCGGCGTCCGCACACACGCAACCGCAATGGCATCACTCGTCCGAAGGAGTACACCAATGGCACAGTTACATACTTGGCTGCTTGCCTGGCTCATGCTGTGGAAGATCCAACTGCCGAACCACACACTTATCAAGCCGCTATGAGTATCCTACACTGGAGGGATGCTATGGAACAAGAGTATCATGCTCTTATGGAGAATGAGACCTGCACTTGTTCCCCCTCCGCCTCGTGTCAACATCATTTATTCAAAGTGGGTTTTCAAGGTGAAGAAACATGCAAATGGTTCTATTGAGCGCTACAAAGCACGTCTTGTGGCTAAGGGTTTTAAACAGCGCCATGGACTGGATTATGAGGATACATTCAACCCTGTTGTCAAGCCTACCACTATTCGGCTACTCCTATCTCTGGCAGTTTCTCGTGGATGGACTCTCCGCCAGCTTGATGTGCAGAATGCTTTTCTTCATGGATTGCTTGAAGAAGAAGTTTACATGCGGCAGCCACCTGGATTTGTTGATCACACTCAGCCTTATCATCTCTGCCGTCTGACGAAGGCTATCTATGGACTGAAGCAGGCACCTCATGCCTGGCATGCTCGCCTGGCTTCAGCTCTGCGTACTCATGGCTTCATTCCTTCGACGGCTGACACTTCACTATTCTTGTTTCAGCGACCGAGTGTGACCATGTACTTGCTTGTGTACGTGGATGACATTATCCCGGCCAACTCCTCTCCGACGGCTGCTAATGCTCTTGTGACTACGCTTGGCAGAGATTTTGCAGTTAAGGATTTGGGACAACTTCACTTCTTCCTGGGTATTGAAGTCGCTCATCAGTCTCGTGGCAGCTTAGCTCTCACCCAGAAGAAGTACTCTCTTGATCTCTTGCATCATTCTGGTATGCTCAAGTGCAAGACATCTCCTACGCCCATGTCCTCTACCAACAAACTTTTAGCTGCTGATGGTGTTCTTCTGTCTCCTGAGGATGCGACTGAGTATATGAGTATTGTTGGTGGATTGCAGTATCCGACGATCACGCGTTCTGATCTATCTTTTGTAGTTAATAGGGTGTGCCAGTATCTTCGTGCGCCTACTGATGTGCACTGGTCTACTGTGAAGCGCATACTGCGTTATGTGCGCCTCACTGTCTCCTATGGTCTCCACTTGCGCCCCAGTTCCTCTGGAGTTCTTTCTGCATTCTCAGATGCTAATTGGGCTGGGTATCCAGATGATAGGCGATCTACGGGGGGATATGTTGTGTTCTTGGGTCCTAATTTGATCGCCTGGAGTGCAAACAAGCAAGCCACTTTTTCCCGTAGCAGCACAGAAGCCGAGTACAAGGTGGTTGCCAATGCGACTGCCGAACTTATATGGATTTAGTCTCTACTTCGAGAGCTGGGAGTGTCTCAGCCACATCCTCCGGTCCTTTGGTGCGACAACATCGGTGCTACGTTTCTGTCATCAAACGCGGTGTACCATGCACGGACCAAACACATTGAGATCGACTATCATTTTGTGAGGAAACGTGTTGCACGGAAGCTACTAGAAATCAGGTTTCTCTTCAAAAGATCAACTTGCAGACATCTTCACCAAGCCTCTACCTTCTCCCATGTTTGATGTGTGTAGGCACAATCTCAACCTTCTAGATGCTTCGGGAGTGAGTTGAGATTGAGGGAGAGTGTTAGACTTCGTATTTGTAGCCCACCTATGTAATCCATACCGTATTGGTATAGGACTTGTATATCATCGTTATATATATGTGATAGGCCACCCCATAGAGGGTTGAGCCAGTTCCCCCAAAATCATACGTCTTACAAGCCTGATGCAAGGCCTACATGTGAGCAACTTCTGTCACACCCATTCATCAAGCGGTACGAGGAAGCCGGCGTCGACTTGGCGGCATACGTCGGGGGTGTTGTGGATCCAACAGAAAGCTTGAAACAAATAGCTGAGATGCTTGCTGTTCATTATTACCTCCTGTTCAATGGCTCTGATGGGTCCTGGAATCATATGAAGACATTGTACATGGAGGAATCATCTTTCAGCTTCTTAGGGAATGTGTGTGTCCAGCAAAGTGTCATATTTGATACTCTGTCAACTATAAGAAACAAGTTGAAAGGTGATCAGCCCGGTGGGGGAATTGTTCATGTTGTTGAGAAGATACATTATGGTGCAAATGGGGAAAGAGAGATCACTGTTCGTGTGTTCGGACCATTCATTGTGGGCAACCAATTTCTAGTACTTGGTGAAGGGCTGCAAGCCGAAGGGATGCCCAGCCTGGACGAACTCACGGTTGACATTCCAAGAATTCGGGTAGGTCAGTTCCGGGAGCAGTTCATCATGCAGCCAGGGATTTCCATGGAATGCTATTACATATCAAGACAAGATCTCTACATCATCCAGTCCTAGTCCTCACAACATTTGTAATCTCCAAGAACTTTTGGGCCTAGTTCAGCCTTCATATCACGATTGCCATATTTGCATTACTTTTTTTTTGAAATCCCTATTCCACAATATTTGCATTTAGCAGCCTTCACCGCATCATTTTCATCCTTAATCTTGATGAAATGGTTCCACATCTCTACATCAGCAAGTTTTGACAAGATTTGTAATTTGTAAGATTTCTTGGGCCTAGCTAGTTTAGCTTAAACTTAGCTGCTCACAAAAACAACACAGAGAATTGTCTTCAAGAAATTACAATCAACTTTTTTTTTCGCTTCTATTGCCTGAGCTTATTATTTACTCTCTCTGTTGAAAGGTCTGTAATGTGCATGGACTAAAATGTATCGTGGCTAATGGACATTGGCCTATTTTGTAAAAAAAAAATTTGCAAAAAATATGAGCACAAGAACGTTTTTCAAACACCATTCAAATGTTAAATGTTACGACAAAAATATGGGCCATTGTTACTTGAGAACAAATTTCAAATAAAAGAACGGATGTGCTGCACATACGATGATTTTCTGAGATATTTGTCGATTGAATTTCATCGAGTTAGTTGCGCAGAACCACCACAAGTAGATACTATACTACCGTGCTCGGAAATAAAATCATCGGTATTACTCTAAGTAGAGCAGGCTCGAAATTGTTCATGTTGTTGAGAAGATACATTGTGGTGCAAATGGGAAAACAGAAATCACTATTCGTGTGTCCGGATCATTAATTGTGGGCAATTAATTTCTAATACTTGGTGAAGGGTTGCAAGCTGAAGGGATGCCCGGCCCTGACGAGCTCACGATTGACATTTCAAGAATTCGGGTAGGCCAGTTCCAGGAGCAGTTCATCATGCAGCTAGGGGTTTCCATGAAATGCTACAACATATCAAGACAAGATCTCTACATCAGCCAGTCTCGACAAGATTTGTAATTTGTAAGATTTCTTGAGATAGTTTAGCTTAAACTTAGCTGCTCACAAAAACAACACTGAAAATTAGTATCCGAGAAGTTACAATCAATTTTTTTTGGCTTCGGTCGCCTGATCTTATTTTTTACTCTGTCTGCTGAAAAGTATATAATGCCCATGGCTAAAATGCATCCTAACTAACTGACGCTGACCCATTTTGAATGTTTTTGCTGAAAATACCATTAAAATGGGTCATTGTCACAAATTTCAAATCAAAGGAACGTTTTTCAAACACCATTGAAATGTTAAATGTTACGAAAAACATATGGGTCATTGTTACAAATTTCAAATTAAAAGAACGGATGTAATGCACATGCGATGATTTTATGAGACATTCGTCAACTGAATTTAATCGAGTTAATTGCACAGAACCATCACAATTGTGGCATCATTTGTAGAAAAGAAAAGACAGTTTTCCATTTTTTTTGATTTGCAATTTGCAGCAAGTGCATTTTGTGCGGTATTGGTGTGTGCCGTGGTGGCAGCAGTCTACTCCTCAAAACGTATGCTCTTCGACTTTGTATGCATTTCCATGGATCTCCTTGGCACGGCCACCTTCACTAAAATTACAAAAGCAACAACACCCAAAGATGCACAAAATAAATAATTAAAAACAACTAACAGAAAAAACCTAAGCGGGAAATGACTGGAGAGAGCGCACCTATGATTCGGGAAAGTATCTGGTGCACCGGTGCTTATGGTGCTACCGGTGCACCGGACGCCCATAGCTCGTTCAAAAATGTTTTAAAAAATCAAATAAAAATGTAGCACATTGGCACAACATCGGTCTATGTTGTCGCAAAAATTCAAATCAAAATTCAAAACATTGCATGAGATATAAAAACAACAAAATTTGGCATCAATGTGTTAATGGGCCAAATCTAAAGCCCAACTTATGTTGTGTGCTATTCAATGCCAATTTTTTGATTTTTGTATCTTGAGCAATGTTTCAAATTTTGAGTTAAAATTTTACGACAACATGAACCAACGTTGTGTCAATGTGCTAATTTTTTCAGATTTTTAAAACATTTTTTAACGCGCTATGGGCGTCTGGTGCACCAGTAACACCACAAGCACTGGTGTGTATTGGTGTGTGCCGTGGTGGCAGCAGTCTACTCCTCAAAACGTATGCTCTTCGACTTTGTATGCATTTCCATGGATCTCCTTGGCACGGCCACCTTCACTAAAATTACAAAAGCAACAACACCCAAAGATGCACAAAATAAATAATTAAAAACAACTAACAGAAAAAACCTAAGCGGGAAATGACTGGAGAGAGCGCACCTATGATTCGGGAAAGTATCTGGTGCACCGGTGCTTATGGTGCTACCGGTGCACCGGACGCCCATAGCTCGTTCAAAAATGTTTTAAAAAATCAAATAAAAATGTAGCACATTGGCACAACATCGGTCTATGTTGTCGCAAAAATTCAAATCAAAATTCAAAACATTGCATGAGATATAAAAACAACAAATTTGGCATCAATGTGTTAATGGGCCAAATCTAAAGCCCAACTTATGTTGTGTGCTATTCAATGCCAAATTTTTTGATTTTTGTATCTCAAGGAATGTTTCAAATTTTGAGTTAAAATTTTACGACAACATGAACCAACGTTGTGTCAATGTGCTAATTTTTTCAGATTTTTTAAACATTTTTTAACGCGCTATGGGCGTCTGGTGCACCGGTAACACCACAAGCACTGGTGCACCAGATACTTTCCCCCTATGATTCTATCTATCTGATGGTGAAACGAGAAGTGGAGGTCCAGTCCAGAAGTGGCCTTGTACAATCAATCAAGAATGGCAACAGAGCAGGGACCTACGTGTAACAAACTAAGACTAGTCGGCCACAAAACAAAAAAGAGTGAGAGAGTAAGGAGTGGTCCGTCCCAGGGGTGACGGCTTGGTCCTGGTGTGGCGCTCGCAAGGCGTCCCGTCGGCGCGCCGCTCTCCGCCGCCGCTGATCTCCCTCCCAGATCTCCCCCGCCCTTCCCCCCACCCACCACACCATCACTCTGCCTGGGTCTCCAGTCTACACGGTCGGCCCGTCACAGGTTTCGGTGGGGTGCGAGGGTGCGCTGTCGCCGGCCAGTGTAACCCTAGTTTCCTTCCCCTTTGTTCTGGTTTTTGGTGGATCAGAGTCCTCAGTTTCTCACGCCTGACATGGATCGAGTCGAGGGATTGATGAAGGGCCTCAAGCTGTCTGATTTGGAGAGTAAGGGTAGGAAGATTGCTTGGGCTAGAGGGGGGAAGGATGGGGTTGTGGAACCACAAGCTGTAGCAAAATTATTGTCGGATAAACCAGCTTTTGCGGAAGGAATGGGGATTGCCCTTGGGAAACTCTGGTGCCCGCTGAGAGGCCTGGGTTGCAAGGATCTGGGCGAAAATAGATTCATGTTCACCTTTCGTCAGCATTCAGGTAAAAGGAAAGCGTTGGACGAAGGCCCATGGATGTTCGGAAAATCCTTGCTAGTGATTGAGGATTATGACCCAACAAAAAGCATAAAGGAGTATGAGTTCAGAAGAATCCCTGTTTGGGTCCGAGTCTATGACCTGCCTTTGGGAATGATGTGTAGGGATGCTGGGCTGGTGATCGGAGATGTCATTGGGAAGGCGTTAGAGGTTGATGCTGGGGCCGATGGTATGGCCGTTGGGAAGTATTTGAGGGTCAAGGTCCGTATGGACATATCAAAACCACTCATGAGAGGCTTTGTGCTTGATGACAAAGAAGACAAGGAGGGGGGAGAACAAGTCCTAACAGAGGAAGAGAAGAGGAAGAAAGAGGAGGTGAAGTGGTGTCATTTCGAGTATGAGTTCCTCCCAGACTTTTGTTATGTGTGTGGCATGCTCGATCATGTGGAAAATGACTGCTCGATAAGGCTCAAGAAGGGGGAAAACAAACAGTATGGTCCATGGTTGAAAGCATTCATACCTCGGCCCTCAAGCGATGCAAGCAGAGGAAGTTGGAATGATGGCAGAGGTAGATTCGAGGGGCGCAGCAATGGGAGTGGCAGGAGTTTGAATTTGGGTCATTCCAAAGGTCGAACGGGTAGTGACAGTGAGGGTTGGCGCAAGACTAAACCGGTTACTTCAAACCGCCTAGCTGATAAGGAAAACCAAGAGGAAGAGGTTACGAGCCCGCTTAAGAGGCTAACTGATCTGATGCAGATCGAACAGAGGACGAAAGAAGGGGGGGGAGGTGAGAAGGAGGGGACGAGGCGAAAGCATCTAACTTTTAGTGGCATTGCTGTGGGAGGAGATGCGAGGACTGCAGGAGTCTCTGCTCTGGAGGAGAGCGTTGGACCACAATAACCCAGCTGGCAGGAAGAGGGTGCGAGGGACGAGGAGAAGGGAGGCATCGTGGTGATGGCCGGTGGGGCTGTAGGAGCAGAGAACAAAGGGGATAGGGGTGGTGTAGGTCTGGTAGGAGAGCCTGCTGCTGACCCAGCTAGGGACATATCAGGACGGAGGGGGGGAGGGAAGTTTAATAGGAAGAGCCGAAGGAAGGGAGAAGGGGATGGAACGCCTCTGGGTGTAAGGCTGGGGTCGAAGAGAGGAGGCGATGACATGGAGTGTGACTTAACAGAGGAAAGTGATGGGAAGAGGAGTAAGACCGGGGTGACAAGGCCAACAGAAAGTGATGCGGGGCTGTCGGAACAGCCCTGCAAGCAGAAATGAAGGTTATATCATGGAACTGCCGGGGGCTTGGGAACCCGCCGGCAGTTCGAAGCCTTCTGGAGCTCCAGAGGGTGGAAGAGCCCGACATCCTCTTTCTCTCAGAAACTAAAATGTCTGGGAGGGAGATGGAGTTTTTGAGATGGCGCATGAACATGTTGAACATGGTGTCGGTTGATTGTGTGGGACGTAGTGGTGGTTTGGCCCTATTCTGGAAGAGAGGGGTAGAGGTGGAGTTGCGGTGGAAGGGGAAGTACCACATTGATGCTGAGGTGGTTCAGGAAGATGGGAGCAAGTGGAGGCTCACAGGGGTGTACGGGGAGTCGAAAGCAG